GCTGAATCCACCCAATATACTCTTTTTACATACACACCTCTCGTACTCTCATAAACCGCATATACCAACAACCATGAACTTCAACTTGTTCAGAACAAACCAATCAGGTGTCTCTACATGGCATATAGCGGTCAATTTACCACACCAGAAGTACACGAGGAAGTTTCTCATCTTCCTTTGAACATCGAAGGGTATGAACTGATCCATGAACAGAACTACAAACTCACTACCAGGCATATTGATTGGCTGGATAGACTTGACCTCGTCTTTCGGTCCCGCTGGAGGTCTGAATCAGGTCATGATCTATTTCCTTTGGCCCGGAAATGAGGGAATGGACGCAGGCTTTTAAGTTTGACTGTTCACCCTGAAGCGTCCTTTACTACTTCATCATTCTGTATTCACTAACCTGATCCATTGCATTTTCTTTCATTTTGTTTTTGTTTTGTGCCCTGTGTTCTCCTTCTTTTGTTATTACTCCGATACCACACTTTAGTCTCGAATTTTATCAAGAAATGAAGTTTTTTCCTCCCGTAGTCACTGCTCTAAAATACATTCACCTCGTCAGCAGTCATATCTATATATCCATTGCTGTATGGATTATGCAAGCCGAGAAAAGAAGCGTCACGGCCAGTGGTTTACGTCGCTAGTGCCGTGACTTTCTGGTTCAGTCGGCACGGGATCGAAAGGTAATTCCCTTCCCTTGCGTGTGTGTGTGTGTGTGTGTGTGTGTGTGTGTGTGTGCGCGCGCGCGCGCGCATTTATATATATATATATGAAAGATGAAAACACTCTAGCGTGTTGATACTATGGTAGAATATATATATATATATATGTGTGTGTGTGTGTGTGTGTGTATATATATATTTATATTTATGTATGTACACATATATATATGTGTGTGTGTGTGTGCCTGTGTGTGTAAGTATGTATGTATGTGTATATGTATATGTATATATATATATATATATATATATATATATATATATATATATATATATATATATACGTATATATTAGTGTGTGTTTGTATGTATGTATGAATATTTATATATGTATATATATATATATATATATATATATATATATATATACACACACACACACACACAGATATACATATATATGTATATATATATACATATATATAAATACATATATATACACATATATATATATATATATATATATATATATATATATATATATATATATATGGGAGGGTTATGCACGTGTGTGTGTGTGTGTATGCATGTGTGTGCATGCATGCATGCATATATATGCATTTCTCTGTATATGCATTCTAGAACTAACTGCATGAATGTATTATATAACTGCATATATATCAAGTAAGTACATGCGTCAGTACAGCTTTGGTTTTACATTCTGACCAAAAGACGAAAAGTCTCGACACAGCTAATGACAACCAAACCCAAAGATCGAATGACCGAGAAAATATTGACCAATCACCAGAACCGGTAACTTACCTAATTCTGTGACGTCACGCAGGAAGCGGGGAGGGTGCAGGGGGGAAGAGCCGTCAGAGTTTCGTTACGTGTGGGAGGAACTGCACGTCTGCGTTCTCCGCCTTGGGACATAGGACTATTAACGTTGTATGTAAAAACAAACATGTTTATTAGATGTGTTTATTGCTTTGTAGTTATATGATGGTTTATATATAGTTAGTAGTGTATATATGGAGAAAGAGGTAGATACGTATGAAAAAAACAGACGTTATTTTGTTTTTTTTGTAGTTGTATGATAACGGCAGTTTTTTTGTTTTTTTTAATAGTGTATATATGTAGAGATACATACATACATACACACATGCATACGTGCATACATAAATACATGCATACATATATAGAGTACATACATACAGTAAGACGGACAGACAGGTTGATAGGGCCGAGATAGGGCAAGCCATACTTCAAGGAAACCCAGGTGAGTCGTCGGGGGGAGGGGGTGTCCTTTAGTCCCCCCCCCCTGCAATGACATCCTCGGGAGACTGTGTTAATTTGATAACAAGGGTACGTTGACTCGATAATTTCAGCATTTACCGCTAGGTGACTCTGGTATTATATAAGCACATGTCATCACACTGGTTCCTCACTTATCAACAAACTGCCATATCTTAAGGATGCTTGTACTTGGATTAACGTTTCTCTCTCTCTCTCTCTCTCTCTCTCTCTCTCTCTCTCTCTCTCTCTCTCTCTCTCTCTCTCTCTCTCTCTCTCTCTCTCTCTCTCTCTTTCCGTGTGATTTTCAATTCAAAAATAAGCTCACTTGGGTTTGATGATTAGTCACTTTCCACACTTTGTATGGATTAAAATTATGCTTATGAGTTTAGTTTTGTACAGAGCTTGTTAGCGAAAATTGGGTATGTGGGTACAGTGCCATCATGCCTCACACTGTATAGATTTTTTTTATATAGTCTGAGAGCAACGTTACGCTTAACTCTACTGCCAAGACTACTACTCCTAATGTTACTACTACTATTACT